TGCATGAATTTAACAACTCAAGCTAAACAAGAACACCTCTCCTACCACTATAATAGTATAATTAACAGGAAAATCCATCAAACTGTTCTATAAATTCAAATGAGGAAGTCTTAAAAGTGGTCTGGTTATATATATTTTTTTTCAAGAAAGGTAACAGCAGTGCACATTCCCTATATATCAAACAAAGATACATTAACAGCAAACCAAAATAAAAGTTGTATACAAAACAAAACCTGTGTTAAAAAAAAGGCACAGATTTGGAAAATAAAAGAGCTCCCACTGCTGAAAATGTAATAATGACATTGTTATCCATACCTTCTCCCTTCATCTCATTCTAAAGAGAAGGAAAATGAAACTTGCAAACTTACTATAGAGGGCTCAACAACAACACCCACCCCTAAGCATCTCAATGTTTTTTATCTTTTATGATGTGAGGAAACAAACATTTTACAGGGTTAAAATGCAGACAAAGCTTACCTTTGCTTGCTGCACCTGGAAATGCTCTCTAGGCTTGGGTGTGTCCCCTTGTTTAAAATTCATGCACCTGCCTTGGAAGAGAGCTGTGGCCCACCTGGAGTGGTAACTGACCCTGAAGCTATGGCATTTCTTTATGTCAGAACAGAGCCCTTAACCAGAAAGTACCATTCCTGTGTGGGTCTGCAGTTTTCTAAGCTGCTTATCCATCATTTCAGTGTCATCTGATAGGGTTCTGTGTGCTCCTCACTGGGCCCAATTCTTTAGGGACAATGAAGTTATATGCTAAAAGTATACATGAGGTAAAACTCTGTCAGTCATAAAGCTGAGAAGTTCTCCACAACCCCAAACTTGTGCTGTGCCATATTATACCTCTACCATCCTGGAGGGACAAGTTCAAATCCTGTTTTACGTATGATGGACAGAGATGCATCTCCCTGTGCAAAGGACATGGTGAGACATTTCTGAATGAGGTTCATGAAGAAAGTCAGTGATGAACCAGCACAAAAGCTACAAAACCACTACCTCCTCAGAAGAATGCTTAATGCCAACAGAAAGCTTTTTACAAACCTATGGGCGAGGACAGCCTCCTGCAGCACTCACAGCTTTCTTCTTCCTCCCTGACTTCTGCACTCTGCTCCACTGAAGTTTTCCTTGCTGGCTGACAATGCTGACATTTCATCTTCAGTTAGGAGAGCAGCAGATTCTGAGGTACATCGGAATGCAGTGTGCAAAGCCCTTCATATTGCAAGGATCTCCATATGGTGAAACCTAGAAACTGGGACCCTTGAGGATTCACAACTCATTAAGGCTGTCCAAATAACAGTTTTGCTCTTTTCCACTTTCTCTGCTACAACTGGCACAAGTGTGCTTTCCTATCACTCAATATATTGAGTTTCATAGCGCAGACAAACAAGCGTCAGCACTGATACAGTTGGACTAAATTTCAGAAAGGAGGGTTCAAAAGTATAACTAACTGTTGTGTAACAAATCAACTTAATATTTATGTACAAACCATTCACAAAATCAAGTTTTAGCATTTGCCAAGACTTTCAAGGAGAAGCTGGATGGGGCTCTGAGCACTCTGATCAGCTGTAGGTGTCCCTGCTCATTGCAGGGGAGTTGGACAATGTGGCCTTTAAGTATCCCTTCCAACAAATGATTCTGTGGGTAACAAGGAAGGGAAGAAATAGGAGACCACCTCCAAGCACCTCAAATGACCCTGCTTCAAGCACTTGAAATTTAAGTGAAGAAATAATTCAGAATCAAAATGAAATTACAACATACTCTAAGTGAGCTCAGAGCTAAATAGAAAATAAAAAATATGTAGGTTTCCCTGGAAGTAATGCCTCCTGTTTATTTCCATGGAAACTACAGCAGATACGAAGAGCACAATAGCTGTACTTGATAAAGCACATTCTCAGCTGCAAAATACTATTTTTCAACACAGTCACTACCACTAGCAATGCATTTTTGCCAGCGAGGAACAAGAGCCTGCATGCCCTGCTTGCAACAATCTGCACCCGCAGAGATGACAGCTGTGCCTGGCCATCCAGGACGTGGCTTGCATTTCACACTGCTGTTATGTGCATTTCATATTGCTGTTACCACTGCTGCAGTGCACCACGCACCACCACACTGTGCTCGCATTTACTGTTTGGTCTCCATTGACGTTCAGAAGGTGTGAAGGAATGTCAGCGAGGGCCATTTTCTCCTCACGGAGGAGTAATTCAGTGACACGTTGGCTTCATACACGCTTCCACTCCAGACACCATTTTGTCAGCCTGCCGTCCATCACACGGCAACCACGTGTAAGCAGTACTGGGGGAAGGTTCAGCCCTGCTGCCATCCCACCGCCATCGTGGGCCAACGCGGTAAGAGCGGAGGCACTGTTCTATTGACAGCACTCCAACACAAGTGCCAGAGCCGTAATTCTCCCCCACTTTGTAGCAATCTTCAGCAATGAAATTCCGAAGCGCGTCCATGTGGGAGCGCACGTGGCAGCACAGGGGAGGCTCCGCTGGGGCGAAGTGTGCCGGGTCTACGGCGATGCGTCGGGAGAGGAGCACGGAGCGAAAAAACGAGCAGCGGGACGGGGCGAGCATGGGAGAGCAAAGAGCATTTCCAACCCGCAGATGTGTGCGGCCAGACGCCCTAGGTCGGGCACATCGGCACCACTTTGCCTAAGGAGCACAGAGGCGCTCCACCTCGAAGCACGCGACAGCCCCGCCTCTCTTTACGGCAGCTGTCGTGCCGCGCCGTGCTTTACGGCGTACCGCGGCCTCCGTACGCTCCGCCCGGTGCGGGGCATTGCGGGGCAGCCGTGGCCATGGTGAGTGCGGCGCGGGGCGCTCCGCAGCGGGGCGCGGCCGTTTTCCCGTTGTCCGCGCTGCCGAGCCCGGCTCCGCAGGCCGCCCTTCCTTCTTTTCTTTGCCTTTGGTAACCGAGCGCTCCGTTTCCCCGCAGGCCGGGACCATGGTGGCGGTCGGGCTGACCATCGCGGCGGCGGGCTTCGCAGGTGCGTGGGGGCGGCGCCCGGCGCGGGGCTGCGGGAGGTCGGCACGCGAAAGAGCGAAGTTGTTTTATGGCCGAAAAGGTCCGCGTTCTGGGAACGGTGCCGAATTGCCCCCTCTCTGTGATGCCTCAGACTGAGACGTGTTCGACGCTGGTTTCTTTAAGGTCGTTACGCGCTGAGAGCCATGAAGCAAATGGAGCCCCAGATGAAGCAAGTGCTGCAGAACCTGCCCAAAGCGGTACGTCGGTCAGTGGTATCTTAGCGACAAGGTGACAAAAGGGAGCAGCTGCAGACTGCTGCCTCGTAGTATTGTATCTTCCGGAACCAAATGTAACTGTATTACTGCTATCAGTCTGTGATTCTGGTGGTGGTTGGTTGATTTGGGACGTAGTTAGTGGGCAGTGCTGGTGGTAGGTGGGCGGTAAGACTTGGTGATCTTAGAGGCCTTTTCCAGCACTAATGATTCTGTTCTAGTAGAGTTGTTGTTCTAGTGAGTTTAAGTAAGTATTCATTGACACAACAAAAACAGAATTCCTTACTCCTAAGCACAAAAGAAGCTGCCCAGCACTGTTACAGAATGAAGCTCAGCAGTTGCTCTGACAGTCGGAGTTGTTATAGCTGATAAACTTACATCATCTTTGTGTTCAAAACTAACACATTTTTCCTTTCAGGACTTCAGTGGTTATTACAGAGGTGGATTTGAACCCAAAATGACTAAACGAGAAGCAGCCTTAATACTAGGAGTGAGGTAAAAGGAAATTAATTATAAATGAAAGGTAAAAAGGATATTCTTTTCTTAAGATTGTCCTATGCCTGCTTTCCCCAAAGAACATCACTGCCAAGCCAGGAAATACAGAGAGACCACTCTTGATTTTCTGTGCTTAATTGGAATCTTCTGCTGGATGCAGCTAAAGTTAACTCTGGTTAGGCTCCCATACATCTCTAAGCCCCAGACACATTCAAGAGCCAGACACAGGCCCTGATAAATGTGCCATTTTCTAGTCTTGACCTTGGTTCTGTATGGGGAACGTGGCTGTGGGTGCTGTCAGTTCTGGTGAATTTCATTGTGAAGGTGCTGTATGTGCCTACTTCCTGCACGTTGGGCAAATCCATCACTTACTGTCGGACGTCCTGCAGGTGAATGTGGTAACTGTTCCTGCCAAAGCTTAGACTCAGAACCAAATATGTAAGTTTATCTAATAACATACAGACTAAGAATCATTCTTCTCTGAAGGTAACTTCCAATTGGGCCGTTTGCATACTAAGAGTTAAAATAAAGAACCTCTCCAGAGTTGTCCGAGTAAAAATGTTATAATGCAGCTTTGTTTTCAACTGAGTATTCAAGTTCAGGATGAGTTCTCACACCAGCACTTGAGAGAGCTCTGTCAGGGATAGACAGGATTTAATTAGGACTTCTAGGTTCCAGTGGGAGCTAAATTAAGCAAAATCTTCAAGTGTGTGTGAATGTTCCCCAGTATGTTAGACTATTGTAGCATGTCTTCTTGGGGAAGAAGGTATTTTGGAAAGACCGTAGGGACCCTCTACAGGACTTAAATGCTAATATACATGTAAGTCACAGAGTTTATGGTAAGACATCTTGTAAAGACCTGGGGGATTTTATCGAGTTCCTTCAAGTGAGTTTTTGTCTGTTTTTTAAACTAGCCCTACAGCCAACAGAAGTAAAATTAGAGAAGCTCATAGACGAATCATGCTTCTGAATCATCCAGATAAAGGTAAGTAAAAGTAATTCATTTTGATCAACTAATACATGTTCTTAACCCATGAAGAGAACAACCGTGTAGAAGTGATGTCAATACTTTGGCTACTAAATAAAAAAAGCAAAAAAAAACCCTGTAAAAAATATTCAAAAATTCAGCAGGTCAACTTATTTATCTGTCCTTAAGGTAAAATGGCTTCCTTGAAGTACTTCATTACTTCTGTGCACTGAAATGCCAAATAATCATTAGTATAGTTAATATCTAAGCAGAACTTACTTCAAAACTGACTATTGAATATATGCAAAATCTAAAAATAGCTATTCAAAGACTTAGGAGCATTTACATGTTTTCATGACCTAAGTAAGTTAAATTAAGCATTAAGTAAAGGCGCTAAACTTAAGTTTAGTACTTGCAAAAAGGCATACGCACTACATCTTTGTAGCTCAGGTTCAGTTACAACTACAATGCATTTACACAATGAAATCTGTTTTAAAATTTTCATTAAGTTATTTGCATATAATGTTTAAATGCTGAACTAGTCTGTCACTACTGCAGCAGTTTGTAGCCTAGCTTTGGAATAGGGAGGAAAGATTTATCTGCAGATGTTTAACACTTGTGTATTCCCAAGAAGCTTCTTTTTACTAAGTCATTACTGACCAATTTATTTATTTAAATGATAAAAATTGAACTTTGTTAAACTAAAATCAATCTAATGATGAGCTGCCCATGCATCTGGCTACTGCAGTCACTACATGTGTAAACTCAAATGGCTTCAGTCATAATGCAGTTTGGTTTTTAACCTGAGTATCTTTCACACTTCTTTTTTGTGTAGTGCAGGACTAATAATGACCTACAAAGAAAATGCTTTCTTCATCTGATGTGACATGAGTTTATCTTTCTTCTAGGTGGTTCTCCATATGTAGCAGCCAAAATCAATGAAGCTAAAGATTTGCTGGAAGACCAAGCTAAAAAATGAATTGGAGATAAAATCAGAGGGTTTGCTTGTATAAATGATTGTTTCTTATAAACAGCTTAAGGCAAGTACGAATCTTAATCAGTGACTTGATACAAATGAGGCTTGAAAAATTAATCAGGGGAGCTACATCCTGCTCTGCTCATTTCTTAGTCACTTTGGGGGAAATGTGTGAGGGAGTGAAGCTTAAGGTTTTTTTCAGAGCTGTTCTTTAGTAAACGATTAAAGCTGCCACTTTGAAGTATTTTCTGCATAGAAGAGCAGTAGTTTGGCTTGGCCAGTTCTTCCTGCATGTTACCAGATGCTGACATGCTGTTACCTAACTTTTGTTAAACTAGTTACATTTGAAATTCATGCTGCTATTCTGTCATATGCCAAAGTTAGCATGATGAAAGAGTGCGGGGAGGGGGTAGAAAAGAACAGTAATTACTTAACAAAAAGCAGTAGGAGAGAGATGTGGTTGTTTCTGGATGAAGAAATAAAGTATAAGAAACTGAACATACTCAGTTGATGGTTCAGCTTCTTAACTGTTATTGGAGGATCTAAATGCCCCAAGTTTTCTAGTAGCTTTCAATTCTTAATGGATTTTATAGCAATAAGTTACAAACCTTTAGTCAGTACTGTAGTTTTATGCATTATCTTATGCTACAAAGCTAACTCCTCGAGTGATGAGAGGCCTGGCAGAGATCTAAATACACTGGAGCACTGGACAATCATCTGCTTGAAGTTCAAGGGAAAAAAACGTGCCACATGTGGGACAGAGCAATGCTGGGCACAGGTACGTGGTGGGAGACAGGTGGCTGAAGGGCAGCTCAGCATGAGGGAACCTAGTTGTGCCAAGTGCCATTGTGCTCACCAGCAGTGTATCCTGGCAGCCAAATTAAACAAGCAGAGCCAGCCAGTCCAAAGCAGTGATTTCTTCGACTTCAGTGTTGGTGTGGCCTTACCTGGAACATTGTATACAGTTCCAGGCTCCACAACATCAAAAATAATGTTAGGGTCCTTGAAAGTGTTCAGAGGGCAGCAAAGCTGGTAGAACTGGAAGCATGTCCAAGGAGAAGAGGCTGAGGCCACCTGGATTTGTCTGGTCTGGAGAAAAGTAAGCCAAGACATAACCTTGCTGCTCTATACAGCTCTCCTGAAACCAATACCATGATGTACAGGAACAGCACAAAGCTGTACCAGGCCCAGGGGGAAACCTCAGGTGAGACATTAAGACAAATTCCCAATGAGGTGGGTGATGAACTCTGCCAGGTGAGAGGCAAGAGGCACCTGACAACATCCTGAAAAGATGCTTTGAGGCTAACCAAAAGTTGTCAGGCAGATGATGAGCTTTGTAGGGGCCTTCTGACTGGAGTACTTTACTTGCATAAACCGTTAAAGATACCTGAACAAAACACCAGCAGCTGTCCTTGGTGTCTGAACTGGGGCCAGTCTTCTCATGCTCCAAGAATCTTTCCAGCCTTTCTGCAACTATGGTAAAACTGTACAACATACACAACAGTTAACACTGTCTGCTCGTAGACACAGTGAATTTTAGAGCTTTAATTTTTCCAGAATTCTGCCACCATTTTCGTAAGTACTATAAGTAGTGTCAACATACTTTGTGTGAACTTCAGTTACTATGTAGCTGTACTGCTGTAGTCTAATTCTATGGCTATTCAGAAATATCAGAATACAGGAAGCTTATGTACCTTTAGAACAGAGTACCAAAATCAGTAACACAAGCACTAAATAGAAAGTGTTTAGAACCTACAGAAGACAGGGATATGCTGCTTTACTACAGAACTTAAAGCAGGATTTAAAAAACAAAACAAAAAACACACACAAGAAAGGCATGCAGCAGCTTCACAAAATGCATCTTTCAAGGCCTACACTGAATAAAAGCTACTGAAGTTCTCTACTGTCATGTAACCTTGACTGTTGTTAAACATGTTTCTCCACACACACCCCCTCCTGTCCCCTTGTAGCTACCATCATTCTCTGACACTTTTATGTTTGCTTCTATTATAACAATTTAACAGTTTGTTCTCCAGGAGACTTTAGCCTTAACACAGTTATATTAAACTGCACATACCCTTCAATGAAATGAATAACTGAAAACTTAGATGGTACAACTCTTCCCTAGCTGTGTGAAGTACAGCACCTGGATGCACACACTGCATTACTTTTGTCTTTTCTTACTTTTTGCCAAATCAGGTAAGATAATTTTTCTTCTAACTCAGTAAAGCTTTCAGCACTGTGGTAACTGTTCTGGTTTCTTATGACTCCTTACTTCCCAGCTCTCTTTTCACATCTTTCTGCTTTGTTGCTCCTGCTCATGTGCAAGAAAAAGACTTGTTAGTATATTATTCTTCTAGCTTCTCAGGAACTACACCTACTTGAGTTCCTATATATGTTAGTCAGGTTATGCAATTTTTTAATATCGGTCTGTTTTTAGATACATTAACTGACGTTTTACATTATCACTTTAATGCAAGGTTAGGTTCAAGTTAGAAAACTTACAGAAGAGTTAAGAGGTTCAAGCTGTCTGGCAGGTAAGTTGCAGTGGTTAACAGCTTGAAAACCTTAAGTCGATAGCAATTTCAATTTCTGATAGAAACAGTCAACAGATGGAAGATCAAAGTTTATTTTCTTTTACTACCAGCATACAAAAAAAACATATTGCACATCAAACAACCAAAACAAAAATAAAAATACTCTACTAAGGACTAACATATGTAGTTTATACAGAATAAACTTTCTGGAAATTGATCTTTTCAGTAGTTCAGGTTATGTCTTAATGGACATGACTAATTCAGCTTAGTGTTAACTAAAGCTATGTTTGATTTTTAAATACTGTACAGTTTAATAAATAAACCAAACAAAGCCTCAATGTAGAACAGTCACTGCCAATGTCACCCAGTATCCCTGCAGATTATGAGAATTTTAACAAATGTATTCCAGTGGTCTGCAGATTTTTCCTCTACATACAGCATTTAAAAAACATGTATTAAAACAGACCAGTTTCCAGACTAAACTAATGGAGAAATTACATTTCAGTGCAAAATATTTTAGACTGCATTTCTTTCTAGTATTCCTCAGGTGAAGAAGTGGTTGCATATTATTAAAAATGTAACAAAAGCAGCTAATGCTTTCATAAAGAGTATTATGTTAGGGATCCCCCTCACATCTTTTGCCGTATTTTGAAAACAAAATAACATTTCCTATAGCCAGCAATTTTGTTTATTTAAATGTTACATATACTATCTCAAGGCACATCTGATGATATATTTATAACACAGTAGGTGTCAAAGTATGTTTAACATATGATTTCTTCAGGATCCCTCCCCTTTCTGTATTCCAAAATGGAGGAACTGAAAGTGCGGTGTCAAGACTGGCGATCCATATTCTATCTTTGGCAAGCTTATACAAGCACTATTTTAAATGTAATGTAGAAGAACTGTAAACTAGGAACTTCAGTTTATGAAACACCATTCAGCACTGCTTCTTCCTGATTATTTCCCTCCTCCTGAACAGTAACTTTCTTTTCATCAGGGCTGTGCTGTAATTTAGAAGGCTCATCCACAGCAGGTGTAGCAGGACCATTCACTGCCTTTTCAGAAGGGCTGTTTTCATCAATCGTATCTTTTGTCTTAAAAACAAAAAATACAGAACAACATTAGAAGAATCAGTAAAACTGTTCACAGCATCCTCATCTTTATCTTGTCATTTCTAGAATGCTTCTGTATTGGAAGCTTGAGAGAGAACCATGCCAGTTTTTCCAAGTCAAAAAAGTAGTTAACAGATGAGTTTATACCCTTTTCAAAGTCCATGGTAAGATTGGACTGTATCACAGATTAATGGACCTCACTTCACTCAATTCAACGATAAATAGTAGCAGTAAATTCAATGTCATCTTAGGAATAAACTATTTTGGTTTTGAATATTATTTTTATGACATATTTATGCCACTTTCTTCCATTCAGAACATTTCAAATCCACAATTCCTGTACCCCCAGCTCTTTCTACAATAGTTCACACAGGTCACTAAATCTACCACCCCTCCTCTATTTATACAATGCTATAAGGATTAGTTCTGAAGACTCATCCAGGGAGATGAGTGCTAATTTTCACATTTTACCATGTAATGCTACAGTAATAAATATATTACAATACATGAAGTCCTTTAAGCATTACAGTGATTACTGAAAGCGCACAGTTTCGTTTATTCTGAACCAGTGTTACTTTTAATCATTTGTTCTTGAACTCAGAGCACTGAAATGAAAATTATCTAAATCAAGCACTCTTTTACTGTTTTCCTGCAAGGGAAGAGAAAAGGAAATGTATGTTCAAGATCTTCTTACCGCTTCTTTCTTGGTTTTGGCTAGTGTCTCCTTCGGAGGGTTTCTCTGTCTACTCTGAGATTCAGCTCGTGATATATAATCAGCTACTGTTACTGTTCAAGGAAAAAAAAATTAGTGATGCTCATATTAGATGTTTAACTTAGCATTAAAACTTCATACCCTTATTCTGCACTGTCACACTATTACTGGGAGCTACCTCACAAAAGGCCTTCACTCTTACAGGTTATCAACTAGATAGTAAGGATCAGTTATTTTATGTTAATAAGTAAAATTTTCACCAAAATCTGTGGTAGCCGGTGATGATCTGAAGGCAGAATCTTGAAATCCATTAATAATGTTTCTGTCCTGACTGTAAGTTTTCTCTGAAAAGAAGGGATTTCTGTACCTGACTTCAGAACATCAAGACTGCAGGCTCTTTATATCCATACACTTTTTTTAATTGGGATTTTAACTATCTTAAGTAGTGATGAATTTCACACTAATAAAATGAATGCAGGTTAAAATACAAAATGAATTGGGGGAGGAGGTTCAGAGTACATTATCACTTACGACAGAGCAGCATTCAAATCGCTGTTACTTCCTTGAAGCAACTGACAAGAGAACTCACCCTCCTGGTACTCAAAAGGCAATCCACCTCTGGCTGGTGGGCAGGTGGGCAACTGCTGTGTGTACAGGCACTCAAGGTGGCTCTGTATGAGTGAGCCTGTACTCAAAAGCAGGACAGCCATGCTTGTTCTGCTATGGCTACACTTACTGGATGCTGGCCAGGGGGGTTCTCTGACCTCCTTTCTTCTTACCACCTCAGCACATGTTCTTGTAGCTTGGTTTTGTCTTATCCCGCCCTCTCGTAACCACAACAATTGAGAGTCAATTCTATTTTTGGAATATACAGTACTAAAAATTTAAATATACATTCATATCTTTGATGAGCTAAAGCATATTAGAGTTGGCAAGCATTATCTACTAACATTACAGTCAACTGTATTTAGTATACCATGCATTCAGGTGAACTATTTTCCTGGGTTTATCAATAACTGCATAAGAATCCTGTATCAGCAGAGCAAGCATAACACAAGTTCTCTGTTACATTAACTAGACTCTTAACTGGGTCCCTGTGTTATTGCTGAGAACAAGGGAGTTTCTGCACAAGAAGACTTCTAAGTGATGTTCTGTACCCGACTAATATAAAGATGAAGTATGTTTTACACACAGTGTAAAACACCAATTCTTAATAATCTCGTATGTAAGTAGGAACCCAGGAACTACAGCAAAAAAACCTACTGAATGACTGAAGCACACTCCTCATATTTAGGAAGGAAGAGTTCCTCCTCTCCATTTCATTCTCTATAGATGCAGTGAATATATGTGAAGATTAAATTAGAGCATTTGTCACAAAAGCATGTAACTACCAATGCTCTTACTGTCAGTTTCAAAAATATTTATTGAAATTGGAAGTGGTATTTTGAACAAAGAAATCAACAGAAAAAAAACAAGCACTTTCTGGGGATTTGGTTCTGCTCCTAGAATGCTTGCATTTAAAAGAGAAATACTTCGTATTTTATAGAGATGCCAGTCATCTCTTTCACCCCTTTATAAGCTTTGTTACCAAACTACAGAATGCTGAGAAGTGTAACAGATTACTTTTTATTCTCCTTAAGTTTTAATTATTGTAAAGCAACAACCTTTTTTTCTTCTAAATCCAATATCGTATGAGTACCACAGATAGACAGAAAACAAATGTGGGTGATGCTGTGATGTTTTGAGCCTGTCAATCTACAAGACTTTCTGTTACTACCTTAAGGCACGCACGTACAAGCGTTTTCTGAGCAGGGCATTATACTGAAATTAGCTAGTTCACCTTTAACATCTCAAGTGTTAGTACACACAAAAGTGCAACAAGCCACAACAACAAAAACTGAAAACATGCAATTTCATTTAAATTCCTCCTCCGTCCCACCCTCAATTTGTGGATGATTTACAACGCTCACAAAAGCTGAAGACTGACAGCAGAAGTTTGAATCAAGCTCTGGACTGGCAGTTACCATGCAGGTTCCCTCGCAGAGCTCTGCCAGGGCACCTACAGCCTGCCATTCCACCTCTGCTCCTCAGCCAGTGCTGAAAAGGTTGTGTCACATTCAATGCAAGTGTGCAGACGCAAGTGAGTGCAGATCATGAACTTTCATTTATGTCTTGATCCTGGACTACTGAAGTCAACAGAAGACTGGCTATTGACTTCAATGAGAACTGGATCAGAAGCTTCAATTGTATTTCCAAGCAAAAAGTTAGACATTATAAATTAGTTCCATTAGACAGATTAAGAACTTTTAAAAGTTCTCCTAGTATAAGAAACATCTTTCATCTTTAACTAGTAGTCTTATTAGTTATTAACCTTTGTACATTATGCAGCTATATGTAAAACAGCAGACACAACATTCTCTCATGCTTTTGACCTGAGAATACCCACAGCTTCACTC